AATAAATTTCCACGTTTCAGATATGTCTGGGTCATTTGAACCTAATTTGTCGGAACATAGTTTTTGGTCTGCTTGAAAACGATTAGGAGACTTTTTAAAAATTCGAGCCCAGGGATCTTATACATACTTTTCCAGTAAAATTTTCTTTTTTCTATTTCTTCGCAAAAAAAACAGTTTTCGATGGAAAACAAAAAACATTTTTAATTAATGAAAAAAATCAAAAAAAGGAAAAACAGCAGAAATAATGTTTAGATAGAATAGAGTGGAATCCCACCTTAATTTTTAAATACTTTCCGAAACAAAAAGTCAGTTTTTTTTTTATTCAGCAATTAGAAACCTCATAGAAGGTTTATTAGCCTGAGCCAAAAGGCAAAGTGTTACATATATATACAGGAAAAAAAAATTATATATATATATATTGCATACAAAAATACATTATTTCACATATCAAAACTACTTAAATTTTCAAATTACATTCTTTAAAGAATTTATCAATAGAATTAATGACGATAGGATTCAAGATGTAAACAATATGACTCATCATAGTAGGGAATTTACAATATTTCTTAATTTTATCTATCATTTTTGTCCTCTGTTCATCGAACCTGGGGCACTGCCAAGCAATATGGTCGACGTCCTGCTCTGGATACCCACATTCACATTCAGAATCTTCCACCATCCCAATTCTGGCTAGAGACGATCTCAGACTGTAATGATTAGCTCTTACTCTGTTTACCCATACTATTGTGTCTCGTCGAAGTTTTTCATAATTATGAAACCAGGCCCTTTGCGGCTCCTTGTTCTCTCACTTGTTTCAAGGTTTTTTTTTGATGATCTTTTGAGCTCTTCTTGAAAGTCAGTGAAGGGGATGCTGCAAATTTCTGCTCGTATTGATTCCGTCGCTGTTTTAGCCAATCTATTAGCTTCTTCGTTCCCTGGGATGCCAACGTGCGAAGGTACCCAGAAGAATTTTAGTTCTCTTGATGACGATGCAATGGTCTTGTAGTCATTATATTTCTTTCGAATTTTTAACAGATAATCATTATCTTTAATCTTCAGCTGAGGGTGATGGAGAGCTTGAAGGGCACTTAGACTATCAGTGAAAATATATATGTCTTTATGAATATTCTGCACAGCAAGATCCATAGCTTCATTGAGCGCCAGACATTCTGCAGTGTATACTGATGATCTAGCATTTATACTCTTAGTACTACGATGGTTGAACAATAACACGCAGCACCAACACAGTTGGCACCCATGACTTTACTTCCATCCGTACAAATTTCATATATTTCCCCTTCTTTTTCTCTTATCATTTCATCAAGAATTCTGGGATTCCCAACTTCTTTCATGTTCTTCTCAACCCCAGAATCAAACTCTCAGTGAAAACATCCTTGTAACTGTGGCCATAAATGTTGAAATGTGTTTTACAATCTATTTGATCTATGAAGGGTTTTATCTCTCTGGCACATTGGACCAATAGTCTATTTTGACGTTTTTTTATTAGAGGACTGTTCCTTATAAACTGATTAAGAACATTATGAAACTGAAGTTGATTGTTGGTCAATACTTTAATATAGAAATTCTTCAGCAAAAATTTAGCTCGCTCTCTGATAGTCAAAAAGTCAGTTCCACAAAAAAAATGAAAAATCTGCAATCCAGATGGGGAAAGGTGGTGCTGTGAACAACTTTAAACCATGCTTAATCGAAAGAACGGGAAATTTTCGCCAATGATACATATTTAAGACTCAAAAATTGTCTTATCATTTCTTCTGACACCCAGAATTTCAACAAAAAGACGACAAAAAGTCGAAAATCAAAGAAATTGACTTTTCCGACGAGAATGGGGAGTTTTTCAAAGCTCTTTTGATAGTAGAAAAAACCATCGGGAAAGTCTCTACAAAATTAAAATTTTCAAGGAACGAAACCGGATCAATTATTGGCGAAATCATTCACAATACAATTTTGTGTTAATCATTCATTCCAGATTAACTCAAAAACTGCTCTCAAAAAAATTCAGAATCATCTAAGCATGAATATTTATTAATCCCTCAAAAAACGGGAATACACCCTTTTAGTTTCGTAAAAAAAATTCTCAATTCCCTGTGAGTAAACCAAAAAAAATTGTCTCAAAAAGTTACATAAAAATGAGTCCTGCCCGGTGGCCTGGCGTAGTGGTTAAGGCCGTTGCCTCACAACGGATAGGTTCCAGGTTCGATTCCTGGCCGGGTAGAATGGTGAGATCTAACCATTTTTAAAGTCTTGATCAATCGCCATATAGTCTCATCAGACTCGAAGCGATATAAAATAAGCATAAAAAAAAATAATAAAAATGAGTCAGACTCATCTGAAACTTGGAGATTTTGTACTCTCTCAGGAAGTGATTATACAATCTTTTGGCCCAAATTTGGACAATCTTCGAATTTACTCTAGGCAGAGCAAAAAATTTGTCTCAAAAAGTTAGGCGCAGATGACTCAGAATCATCTGAAACGTGGAGATTTCATATCCCCAGGGCAGCCCCCTGACACTAAATCCAATGCCTCTATACAATACGCGTGTCCGCATTATCGAGGCTGTTTCTGACGGCCACAACGCGGCGCTGGATTACACCTGACTGACCCCCTCCATTCTCCCAACTGCCGCCATTTCTCTGCTCTGTTTTAAAGGAAACGCCGGAATAACTCGTATTGTATGGTTTGAAAGTGAGATTAAACTGACATAATTATGCCTACTTGTGCAGTCGCTAATTGCACATCAGGTTATCAGTCTAATCCCAACAAATTCCATTTCTTCACGGTTCCGAAAGCGCGAAAACCGTCAAAGAGTGGGGGATAATTATGAAAAGTGGGGAGCCGTCAGATGACTCTCCGCGCCATCTGTAATGGCTTCAATATGAGGGACACTGAAAACACTGTGTAACAGGGGGCTGCCCCAGGGAAAGTGTTTATACGACCTTTTCACCCAAATTTTCGGGAAAACCAAAAAAAAAAGTTTATACGACCTTTTCNGAATGGGGAGTTTTTCAAAGCTCTTTTGATAGTAGAAAAAACCATCGGGAAAGTCTCTACAAAATTAAAATTTTCAAGGAACGAAACCGGATCAATTATTGGCGAAATCATTCACAATACAATTTTGTGTTAATCATTCATTCCAGATTAACTCAAAAACTGCTCTCAAAAAAATTCAGAATCATCTAAGCATGAATATTTATTAATCCCTCAAAAAACGGGAATACACCCTTTTAGTTTCGTAAAAAAAATTCTCAATTCCCTGTGAGTAAACCAAAAAAAATTGTCTCAAAAAGTTACATAAAAATGAGTCCTGCCCGGTGGCCTGGCGTAGTGGTTAAGGCCGTTGCCTCACAACGGATAGGTTCCAGGTTCGATTCCTGGCCGGGTAGAATGGTGAGATCTAACCATTTTTAAAGTCTTGATCAATCGCCATATAGTCTCATCAGACTCGAAGCGATATAAAATAAGCATAAAAAAAAATAATAAAAATGAGTCAGACTCATCTGAAACTTGGAGATTTTGTACTCTCTCAGGAAGTGATTATACAATCTTTTGGCCCAAATTTGGACAATCTTCGAATTTACTCTAGGCAGAGCAAAAAATTTGTCTCAAAAAGTTAGGCGCAGATGACTCAGAATCATCTGAAACGTGGAGATTTCATATCCCCAGGGCAGCCCCCTGACACTAAATCCAATGCCCCTATACAATACGCGTGTCCGCATTATCGAGGCTGTTTCTGACGGCCACAACGCGGCGCTGGATTACACCTGACTGACCCCCTCCATTCTCCCAACTGCCGCCATTTCTCTGCTCTGTTTTAAAGGAAACGCCGGAATAACTCGTATTGTATGGTTTGAAAGTGAGATTAAACTGACATAATTATGCCTACTTGTGCAGTCGCTAATTGCACATCAGGTTATCAGTCTAATCCCAACAAATTCCATTTCTTCACGGTTCCGAAAGCGCGAAAACCGTCAAAGAGTGGGGGATAATTATGAAAAGTGGGGAGCCGTCAGATGACTCTCCGCGCCATCTGTAATGGCTTCAATATGAGGGACACTGAAAACACTGTGTAACAGGGGGCTGCCCCAGGGAAAGTGTTTATACGACCTTTTCACCCAAATTTTCGGGAAAACCAAAAAAAAAAGTTTATACGACCTTTTCGCACAACTCACGCGAATTCTCCTTAGAAAGAAAAATATTTCAAAAAATGCAAGTTTAGAATCGAAGTTTCTAGAATCTAGTAAAAAGAAACATGGAATTTATCGGAAGAATTTCAGATGAAAATAATAATAATACGGATCATTTCTAGAATTTTTTCTATAAAAATAATTCGATATGATGCTTGAGTTTATCATTTTTCGAAGGATAAATTTAACCATGATGAATTGATCAATTTCATGATTTTTTTTCTCTGTGTACGAACAAATCTTTTCCGCCAAAATAGGTTCTTTGGATGTCCTATTGCTAAATCAAAAAAATGTGATTTTACGTTTTCACAGCGAGAGATTCAATGAGTGCGAAATCGGGTCTTGACCGATGGTTTTGTTATGCACATTGAATTCATTATCCGCGTTCATTATCTCTCTTTCCCTTTTTCCAATGAAATGTAATGAGTACCTGGTAGTCGTGTGAAAAAAAGATCAGCATCGTCTTCTTACTCCTCTTTGGTTATATCCCTCTCAAGAGGAGAAAAAAAACTCAAACATTCCATGAAGAGCAGCATTATTAAAATTTAATTCCAATTTTATTTATCATCTGAATAAAGACTTATCTCACACTGCTATCTACGTACATACTTAATTGTCCTTGACACCTCGTCACTCAATACGAGTTTCATTCCACATGTTCGTCATCTTACACAACCATATTTTGTTGCTTACCTGGTTGCAATTCTCATTCATTCCACGAATTCAATACTGCCTAAGACTGTCATCTCATCAACAACTTTCAGTACATTGGATTTACTGTTTTTATTTTGGTTTCAGACTTAAATCCATCGGCTGTGTTCTCATGGGGAAATGGATTAAATCTTAGCCATTCCAATTCTGAAAACAAAAGTACCCCGGAATGCTACACTGATGAAGAGAAAGGCAGAAGAGGGTAGTAATAAAATGGTAGGTGGTTCATTGAATGGAGACTCATCACCAAAACGCATTTGTCGAGATTTCCTTCGAAATGTTTGTCATCGTGGAAAACGTTGTAAATATTTGCACGAACGTTCCGAAAATAGTGTAATTGAGGAATATACATTTTGTCATGATTTTCAAAATGGAATATGTAATTGGCTTGGCTGCAAATTCATTCACTGCACTGAAGGTGAAGAGAAGCATTTCCGAGCAACAGGGGAACTGCCGCCTCACATTGTAGTTCGTTTAAAAAATAACTCCGATAAGGCTGAGTTACCAGTATGCAAGGACTTCGTAAAGGGAAGTTGCCAGAGGGTGAATTGCAAATTTCGACACCATAAGAAAGAGGAACCTCAGCACAATCATATTACACAGCAGCATATGAATCAACCGAGGCCTCAGCATAATTACAATATCAATGGTGGTGGCGATAATAGGCAATTCGAGGAGGACAGGAAGTGAGTATCATTTGCAGTATTACACGGAGAAAAAACGAGAGAAATTCATGTGCTGAACACTAGAAACGGGGCACAACTGACTTCGACTGGAGTTATTCTAGGGGAGCACCGGCAAAATTCTGAATTCGCGTGAGAATTATTCGTATGCCCCCATGCATTTTCGAAAGAAACCATCAGAAAAGTTCTGCTATGGCAGGAGAAAAATTCTCCGGCGGCACATGAAAATTTGTAGGTCCTTGTAGTTCCTCATTGATTCTCAGAAAAATTGATAGTGCCCCTACATTTAATATCAGACGGCTAAAGAAATTTTACTATGCCAATACTGAATTTTTGCTGTACTGCTCCAGAATTATTTGTATGCTCGTCCATCACTACGTTGGTCAGGGTGGGGAGCCGTCGTAGGAGCTCGTCGATGTTCGCAAGAACATTTTTTTGTATCAAAAGTTTGGGTCATCGTTAATTCGTAGCCTTCAGGGTAACTTTCGAACCTCCTCAATTTTTTCAACTTTAAAATTTCTAACTGTATGAATATTGGTATCACCTACCCCTCCTCCTCCGCGCCCCAAGGACCACAATATTGAGGAAAACAATATTTCTTTTCTAATTTCATCGTTAATTCCTACCACTCAGGGTTATTTTCAAATTCCCCAATATTTTAAAAGTTGCTTGAAAATTTTAGCTGTATCCGTATTGGTCCCAACCCCCCTCTCCCGATTCCCTAGCTCCAGAAAATGGGGGGAAGCAATTTTTCTTTGTTTCAAAAAATTGCTTCATCACTAATTCGTACCCCTCAGGGTAACTTTGGAACCTCCTTAATTTACTAACATTTACTTAAACATTCTAACTGCATAAGTATTAGTATCATCCCCTTCCCTACATTCCAGGCACCAAGAAATTGAGGAAAAACTTTTTTTTTGTTCGAAAAAATTATATCATTAGAAAATTTTCCCTTGAATAGAAACTTTTGAGGCTCTCCTATTTTTAAAAATTTTTTTAAAGTATCGGTAACGGCATTTTTTGTATTAGCGTATCAAATTTTCATGTGCTATGTGATATTTCTTACGCCTTGCAATATTTTGTAAATATGGGGCAATATTAGCATTTCTCTCAGAATTTCACTATTAGAATTCTAATATTTTTCTCACCGTGTAGGTCATGCAAATGAAAGAAACTTTTGGTTTTTGTAAAATGGCAATGACAGCAGAAAAAGTTCGATGTGAAAATACTGGAGTCTAATTCGCGAGTTAATAAGGAGTAATTCTAATTAACGCTCCTCATTAATTCTCTCCAGACTCCCAGTAATTGTTTGCATAAACATGCGAGTATTCGTTCTATCTGCCTACGAATAGACAATCTATTGCATAATATTGCACTGAGCACGTTCCTTTTTCGATGTCCATGCACAACCCTGACTGTAATTAATCTAAAATAAAATTACGTTTATTTTCAGGTATCACTGGCAAATGGAGGATCAGCATACGATGGTTCAAAGTAATGGGTATAATGCATCACTACAATCTGGCGATTACATGGGTCCACTCGAGCCAAAGAGGAGACTAGTCTCCAGTGAAACTGTTGTTCATTTTGAAGCTTCACCATTACTTGGACAGCATACTACACAGCAGGTTACACCTGGATACTATTATCCTGTTATTGCGAGGAATGAAGCCAGGGCTATTGTTCTCGAAGACGAAAATTCATTGTTACGCAAAAAAATTGACGAGTTAAAGAAACAGGTAAACAAAACATTGCGACTGACAATTCATTTACGCGTACTCACCTATAATTATCAATGTAGCAAGCATTGTCATAAGTATGAAACAAGCGAAGTATGCAATTGGCAAAGGTATTGAGATGAAAATTTTAAAACGCCATTATTTCTAATTAAAAATCAAATTCTCTCTATTGTCTTTAGGTACTGCTTCTATTTGTTCTAATGGAAAAAGATTTATTCCCCTAAGATGTAGAGTGTTGTTAAGTGAAATATTTTGGAATCTTGACAAATCTCCCACATTCATCATGGCAAATGTTTTAAAATTATTCCGCCGACTTTTCAATTGTCAATTGTTGGTCAAATCGACGGCGGTGGCCGAGTGGGCCAGAGTCTAACACCGCTAGACGCAAGTCAAGTGTGCGAAAGGTTACGAGTTCGATCCCAAGTGGAATCAATTTTTTCAACGTGAGGTTCCGGTAAGCGGGGGATTGCTAATAGAGTAACCGCCTGTACTGGGGTTTCCTATGCTACTCCTATGTTCTATCTGAGAGCAAATCCCGTACAGTGTAAAATCCACAGTCGCATGCATAGGGTTGGACAGAGTGCTGAATGGGACTCGAAAAAGGACTCGAAGACCGTAGAAAAAAATTGTTGGTCAAAATATGTGTACGATCATATGAAAACACCTCACTTTGTCTAATCTAATTTCCGAGATATTCACGTTTTTGGGCTTAAAATGTGTGAAATGTTATGACTATTATCTGACTATACATAATCTTTTATGTGAATATACATATATACAAAAATTTGAAATTTTCTTATTATTTAAAAAACAAATTACAGGTGAGCGATTTAACAGCAACAAATGAATTCCTTCTTGATCAAAATGCCCAACTTCGAATGTCGGGAAAACGGACCGCAAATGTGACAGCTGTAACAGTACCAGCAGTAACGATAACGAACACAGTACCTCCATCGCAAGCACCAACACCTCAGCAAATGGTAAATGCAGCAGTTGCAGCGGGTACTCTGAGAACAGTGACAGCGAGTGTTGCCACTGTTCCAGTTAGCATAGCAACAGTCACTCCAGTTTCAATTGCTGCTGTATCAATGGCGCCTGTCTCGATACCACCGCCAATCGTTACAATGGCTCAGCAAACGATAACAATGAGTGGGTCTGGACCACAGTCTGCCAATCAACAGCAACCAAACTCTCAGCAACCTGCGAGTTTACCACTCTCTATATCTGGTGCCACTGCACCTCTCGTTTCCTATCCTATTATGACCCAAGAGCTTCGGCCTGTTTTACAATGAAACAAAATGTCAAATATGATGAGATGAATTGGTACGGATCACGTATTTTCATAAAAAGCACTGCTAAGAATTATTGAGGCACCTGAAATACTATTTTTTATACAAATCCGAAAATAATCTTGTGACAAGTGGGTGAAAACTCCTTTTAAGTATTTAATCTGATTGTTCATAATTTTCTGGGAGAAAATGTTTTCTTTTTGCAGAGAGTGATGAAAAACATATTGAAAATAGAAATTGATTTTTAAATAGTCTTTCTAAGATTACCTCCGCATTTTTGAGGGTGAGAAAATTATTATAACTTTCTTTCTCTTGTCATCAACGTATCTTTACGTGATTCACGTAAGTAGAAGAAACATTCGAGATGATAAAACTTTTATCTGAAGGTCAAATGGCAAATACACTATGATAAAGGAATTTACTGTCCTTTTTTTCTGAATGAGGATGAGATAGTTCCTCATTTAATTTTCACAAGAATGAACTGTTTATTCATTAAATTCTTATCAAATTCAATGCCCCAATACCTGATTCGATTCTAGGAGCTGAATGCCCTAGAGATGTTCTCTAAAAAATTGTTTTTTGTACAGAAATAATAATCTTCCTTTGACGCCATGCAATAAGTCGACTTCATCGTACGCATTCATATGAAATATAGACCACACTGATGAGCAGATCCACGTCAAAACGCAAGGCCGAAAAAGTCGATGTCCCGGATTTTCTCGCCAATTTTTTTTCCTGAAAGTTGGTCTCAAAACGAACATTTTGAAAAAAAATATTGAAAATCCGCGATCGACGTAGATGTGGGAGCCATAAAGTGGTCTCCACTAACTACTCTTGGCGGGCTATTAATGAGATCACTGGGTTCTCTTTGATCTCATTTGTTGAGCTCCATCATTGGTTCCCTCCGAGGGATCTCATTGATTGCCCCCCAAGAGTAGTTAGTTTAGAGACCACTTGGTGGCTCCCATATCTACGTTGCGATCGCGAATTAAGGAAGTTATGATTTTTTGAAAATTTTTCGTTTTTTTGTTTTTGTTTTTTTCAGATGCATATTTTTGGTGATTTTTTTTCAAGTTTTCATCAATATCTAATTCGGGTTTGAAGATATCAAATTGCCGTTCTGCACATAAAATGTACCTGGAAAAACCTTCAAAATGAGCCGTCACTCGTGGTATTCCATTATTTTTTACGGATTTTATGCATCAAAACGTGTTTTTTTTTCAATTACAAGTATCTCCTACTCTACAAAATTCAAAAACCACATTTTTTAAAAATCTGAAATTTTCACCAAAAATCATCAGTAAGATGACGAAGATTTTGGCATCAATTAAAGTTATTTCTTCGCAGTGGTTGACTGCATTTTAATGGGTGAAATAAGCATATTGCTGAAAATCTGAGGAAAATGTGAATTAATTCCCCTAAAATGAAAAAGTGAGGGATGGAGATCTCCTTGTCGATTCTTTTCCTAAAAATTGGTCACCAGACGAACATTTTGAAAAAAAAATCATTGAAAAACATTCAAAACTGGAGGAGTTATGATTTTTTGAAAATTTATTTTCTCTTTTTACTCAATAAACTTAGGAGATTTTGTCATCGATATCTGATCCGGTTTCAGAGCGATCAAATTACCCCGCAACACACGAGGTAAACATAAAACAAGTGGACAATTGCATTTTTCAGTAAATGAGTATAGTTATTGTTGCTAAAAAATTAGCAATATGCTTCCGAATGGATTCTCTGTTTTTAAAATTTTTATTTTAATAATTTTTGACTTCCTTTTTCCTATTTGATGACTGTTATTGACTGACATGTCATCAACATTTTTCATTAATTTTCATTTTGATTTTGACAATCAATCCTGATTTTCCTGTATTTTTATGAGTTGACTTGTTTAAAAAATCAATATACAATGAATTACTGCGAAGAAATGACCTGAATCTACACTCAAATATTAATTATTTTACTAACGATTTTTCATGGGAGCGAATTCGCCAAGTATTGCTATGGTTTGGTACCTTCAAAATTTTAATTTCGTTGAGGCTTTTAATATGGTTTTCTTAGGGGAGACCGGGACAAAGTGGAACGGGGTGGGGCAAAGTGGAACGGCGGGGCAAAGTGGAACGGTAGTAAAAGCGAATTTCGAGCACAATTTGGACAACTTTTTTTTTAACTTTATTAGTCAAAAAAAGATGAAGGGTCAAATGTTTCTGAGGGTCAAACAGTGGTGTATATCCCCATAAGCCAGGATGAAACGTCGAACCCACGTGGAATTTGGAAGTCCTCGGTTGATAAGGATAGTCGTTGAGCGAGTCTGTATAGATTAAGGGATACCTAAAACGTAACGAAAATTTTGGGTACAACCCATTTTGCCCCATACGTCGAGGTAAAACATAGTTTTCCAGATATGTGGCTTCAAAATGCTCCTCGTACCACAATTGTCATTCGAGTTATAAAAAAGGTTATTACAAAAATTTGGCTATTTCCCTTAGATTCTGAAATATTCCTCACAAACTCAGGTGAAGGACAAGTCAACTTAAGGATGTCCAAGTGCTTTGGCTATTTTTTATTCAGTGAAATGCTTTTCTACTTTTGTCGTCGAATATCAGAGCTTTCATTTTAGCTCCATTTGACCCTAAGTTTCCGGATATTTTGTAATGATATTATTATTTAAAATGTGAAGGTCTGAAAAAAAATTAGAAAATTTAATTTTGAAGGAATTCATAAAACAATTGAAATATTGAAATTTTTGAAAATTATGAGCATTTTAAAAAAATAAGTGATAAACAATCAATTTTTCACGATAAAAATCATTTGTTCGGAATCGTAACAAATTTATTCATATTCAGAATTTTACCAGAAATCGATTCCATGCCTAAAAAAATAAGGTGTCCGAAAGTTTAAACAATTTCAATTAATTATTTATAGGAAGGGAATGTTTAAAAAAATGAATTTTTCCAGTTTTGTTACACTCGCTACGTCAATTTTTTTGTTTTTTGAGTTTTTGGCGAAATTTCTTATGTCACCAGAGGTAATTTTTTTTACAATTTTTGATATATATTTCCGACGGAAATTTTCCGTTCTTTCGATTGAGCATGGTTTGAATTCGCTCAAACCATCAGAAATGCCATGACCATTAAAAACGCAAAGAAAGATCAAAATCGCGCTTTGTACTCCCTTCCGCAACCTTGATTGCAGATTTCTTTTCTCCTTACCCAAAGTGACCCTTTTTACAGAACATACTAAAAAATCAAAGTGGGACTCCGATCTGTTCTATTAAAAAATGATTGTTGAAAATTTTTTTTTCCTCAATTTTTCAATTTTTGCATCATCTAACTTCAAAATTATTGAATTTTCATTTTTTATTTCATGCTTACCCGTGAATGATTAATTTTGAAATCAAAAAATTAAAAAATTGAAAAATTGTCGAAAAAAAAATTTTTCAAAAATTATTTTTGGATGGAACGGATCGGAGCCCTCCTTTGACTTTTTTGTATGCTTTTTAAAAAGGGTCACCTTGGGTAAGGAGACAAAAAATCTGCAATCAAGGTTGCGGAAGGGAGTACAAAGTGCAATTTTGATCTTTTTTGGCGTTTTAAAGTCACTAGCCGCAAGCGGCCGGGGTGTTGATGCCCCTTTCATTATGCCCTTTTTCCTGTCAGATTCAATATTACTTTTCTCAATTCATTGTTCATAATCATTCTAATTACAAAAAGCAACGCAACTGATGGAAATAATATGTCCCAATTTATTAGCTTTAAATTTTGTTAATTTTTCGTATTGCAATAAATGACTTGCTCGTGTGCTAATTGCTATGAGTAAACTGCATAAAAGTTCGAACATAATTATAATCCAGTTTCATCTCGAATGTAAGCCAGAGAGTAGATTTCTGGTAAACACTCTTGTAAATTTTTATAATTAGTTCACTCGTTAATTTAATTAATCCGTTGTTCACATCATCAATATAATTCCACGCTTAGAATATCATCACCTAATGTTTTCAGCACCAAATTAACAATTAAAATTTTAAATGATTGTTTGACTGCTGCTCTATCATTTTTATTATTTGCAGTTATGGAATATTGAGTCAAAGCTTTTTTTGTTTAATCATATCAGAAATTTTTAATTTAAATATTGTTACTATTTGTTCAAAGTGAAACAATCGATTATCATTTTCACTATGTTGCATTCAGATTCTTCTATACTTAAGGTAAAAAAGGTCAGAATCTCTCATAATTCTCACTATTGATTCTAATTAACTTTGAAGGAAACCCCAGCAAACACACCATTGAGGAAGTTGAATCATTCTATTTTCCTGTGGCCTAAATGATTTGGGTAATTATAATTTGCATGTTTATCAATCGAAAATACAGAGTGATTTGGTACAGAATATTCATCGTTTAAATGAGAATTCAAGTAACTTGAAAAGTTCTCCGCTTCACATACTGGTTAAAAGTGTTGAATTTCATTAAATTTACAGTAAAATTTGAAATTTCACTTTTTCCTCTCAAACTGAAGTAAATGTCTCTCGCCTAAAAATTACTACTGTACTGTTCATGACATTTAAAATTTTTTCCAACACTATAATTACTACTTACTCATAATAATTCTTAAGGAACATTTTTTAAATCTTTAAAAAAAAATAGAAAGTCGACTGTTCTGAGTATGGTCGGAAAATTGCGATTTTCGAAGACCACTTTTTTTGCTTCCGAATGAAAGCTTTGCAATCATGATTTTTAGATTTCTGAATTTTGGGTGGAAATACCTAAAAATGTCATGAAACGTGAAGAAATGATGTTTTTAAAAAATGTCTGCATATGAGTAGGTATATGTGTGCACATGTGTGTTCGTATGTCCAGAAGTATCCCCATAACTCGAGAATTATTGAGGCAAACATGCTGAAATTCTGGCTGCTAATTGGTACTACTGAGACTCAAATTTATGCTAAATTTCAGCTCGATCGGTTGAGCGGTTCCTGAGATATAGCGATTCTTCGAAAATAGTTTTTTGCCGATATCACCTGGACCGATTGGATTCTTTTTTCAAAATACTCTTCACGATGATACCTATCTACTTGGATTGAAAAAAGACCATTACTCCCTGAGCAATGTAGTTTTATTCTCATTTTTTCATTTTTTCCTTGAAATTGCATGTTCACACGAAAACTTGAAAAATAATTGAGATAGAAACTTGAAACTTAGTATGACTTTAGGTTTCATGGTAAAAAAGTTTGGGATGCTGAATGAACGAAATCTTGTGGTCAATATCTCAATAGTATATTTCGTCATTAGGCCGAAAAAAACTTTTCTGGCGAATATGAGGTGTGCAGCACGAGCCGAAGGCGAGGGCTGCAATCATATTCGTCAGAAAAGTTTTTTTTGGCCGTATGACGAACAATATTTTTGGCTCCGCTTCGCTCC